GAGGCCAGGGGAGGGGAGGGGAACAAGAGAAGCGGTCGGTGGCCATCCGTCTTACAAAATACAGGATCACACCACTTCTACGCGTTCTCTCTCTCTCTCCCCTTCTGTCAGCCCTCCTGAGATGGACAACCCCCCCCCCCCCCCCCCCCTTTATGTTGGCAGCTGACTGTAAAGTGAGGAGTGGACTCGACCACCCTGCCCAGATAATTCAACCCAAAGAAGTATCGTCCGTATTCTCGAAGACTAGGCTCTTAGCCTTGCGCCGGGGGCATTTCAGCCGTACCTCAAGAGCGTGCTAGAATAAAGTAGCGCGCATCAAAGACAAAGAGAATTCGACCCCCTCGCGAGAGGCTATTGGCGAAGTGAGCGATCGAAAGCGTCGCTGTGGTCGGCCCACCACTATTGGCCGAATGCTGACTATGACGTCAGCGAAGGATTTCTCATCGACGGACATAAGAGGAATGTAAGAACTTCAATTTCGACGGTGTTGCTGGTGTTGCTTTGAGAGCGCTATGATTTCAGGCTTCCACCATGCCCATTACGAACACCATCGAACTTGTTGGTCACAAGGCAATGACGTCACGAAAGGTAACTTGAACGAAGGCGCCACCGAAATACCTCGCCTCTATTATCATCTGTTACGCGAGTTGTGAACCCGGGAATCAAGGGGGTACGGACCCGCGTGTGATGTCTGTGGAGGCGGCGGAAGACGTCGAAGAAGTTCGAAAGGCTGAAACGGTGTAAAGGACAAAAACAAATAAACACGAAGAGTTTTCTCCTGCCCGGGAGAAGAAAAACACGATGCAAGGCGACGGAGAATCTACTCGTCGTTGTCTTATTTTATTTTTGTTTTTCGGATATTTCTACATGCCTTGCCCGTATTTTCGAGGCGTTCTAGTGACCGGTCATACAAAAAAATCGTGTTTTCTTTTTGGCGATTCTCCCCATTTCCTGAAGTTTCTTTTTTTTTTTTTTTATTTCGTTGAACTTGCTCTCTTTATGCTGCTGAATGTTCTGCTCGTATAGCTCCAGTTACTGTATTATGCTCATATTTAAAAAAAAAAGTAACGAGTAATTAAAGTAATCTGTTAAAAATATTTTGTAACGAAATTACATTACAAATTACTTCAAAAAATGTAACGTGCTTGGCAATTACAAAATTACTTGAAAAAGTAACGGGTTCCAAGTAATCCGTTCCTTGTAACGGATCACTTCCCAAGTCTGCGGTGGTGTGTGTTGCAAACGCCCGTTCAGCTGCGGATTGTTCTCCCGGTGCACGGAAGTTACGGCAGCCCCGGGAGTTTGGGACGCCGCGTCGACCGCGACACTCGCGTTCGTTTGTGCTCTTCGCCGGCATTTCTACGACGAGCCGCCAGGACGTCCGACCGCGTGACACTCGGGCTTTTGAGGCGTCGTTCGTTGTGCACTTCAGGACCACTTTTGATGTATGGGACGGAAGGGGACGTTAAACACACCGGCCGGAGGCGCGTTCCAGGCACCGTATATGCCGCGTGCAAGTTCATAAGCTCACTGCGCGCCACGTGCGTTTGTTTACTCGGCAAACTCGTCCACGTGCTTTTGCTTACCCTCGACCTCAACCAATGACGGCGCGCGTTTGGCCGTTTCATCATCGCGCCTTCGCTGCGTGTTCTCTATGTCACCCTTTGATTGGCCTGCTCCTCCTTGCGTGGCGATGCGCCGAAGAGGTGTTTTGGAGCACTTCCTCGGGCCGTATTCTAAAAGTTAGTCGTCACGGCGCTCCTCGTTCCTGAGCGTTTCCACGCATGACGGACTAAACCAATCACGTGCACAGTGAATGCGCCGCGACCTGCGCTTCTTTTCTGTGGCTCTGCGGCTCTTTGTGCGACTCGACTGGCTACATGCGACCGTCGGCGGCGGTCGGATTTGGAGTGAAACGGAGTAGGGGACTGTGGGACGTATAATCGTAAAATATGACTCTCTTATGACCGTTTTACGTGGCTGTAACCATCTCATGAGCGGGGCCTCTAAACTCGTTAAACACGGAGTTGGGGGCAAAGTTGACGGAGCGCACCGATTGGCCCATCTAGGCGATGACTACGCGCTTTCTTCGCCGACGTTCAGTCGGCGCGCTCCGCGTACTGTCGGCTCCAACTTTGTGTTTGACGAATTTAAAACACCTAAAGTAAAAAAAAAGAAAACGCAGAGTTTTTAATATTGTTAGCTTCCAAAGAAATACTGAAATAAATATATATATATATGTGTGTTTTGAGCACAGAGGTTACTCCTTACGGCATATGGCCGTCTTGGTCTTAGTAACTAAAGCCTCGACCGTCTGAAGCCGCATGTTGCTATGAAAATATGTGTGGGGGAGGGCTACGTAGAATGCATTCAGCCCGCATGCACCAATGATTGTATTTCCATCCGATTCATAATTTGTACGACTAAGAAAAACTTCGACCCACATTGGTCGGTTTTTCCTTTTCTTCAAACACGCGGAGATTTTTGGGGATAATTGGTCAGCAGGCAAAAGGCACCCTACACGTAAGAAACAAGATTCAATATCTTTAATATATTAGTCCAATAAAGCCGAAGGCCCGGCGAAATTGCGTTACTTTGAATTAGCTAACAGCCCCCCACTCCCCACTTCCCCAACCATCCTCTCAGCACCCCCAATATCTTTCAGCTACTATTCAATCTTCTCCCAACTACAAAACAAAGCAAGCAGTCAGTATAAAGCTTTCTATCTGTTCGTCGCAATTATAATGCATATCGTCGCACGCCCAATTTCGGGCGCCGATGGGGGCCTCGCGCCGCATTCAAGCTCTGACGGCGTAACCAACGCACTTTGTTTGAGTTGTGGAACTTAGCGTATACAGCCAGAATCCATAACACAAAACGGGATCGTCTGGCCCCCGCTTTCGTATTACCCGGCGGCCGACCCCGGGAAAATTAAGCCTGCCGGCAGATAAAGGGCCGCAACAAGTGAATGACGGCATTATGCCTCATAACTGCGGACGCCTTAAGGGCCGTTGCATTTTTGGCCCTCTGTTTCGTTTTCTTGCCTTCGCCCGACGTGTTGGTAATCGATTCTTAATGGGGCGTGGGCCCCGTTTATCGCGTGGCTGTAATCAGAGGCGCATATGCGCTCCGGTAATGTGCGAAACGAGCAGAAGACTTCGGGCCTGCCCCGTAAATTGCGCTTTCCAGGAGTCGAAGCAACGCAAATGGCTGGTTTTTTGTTTGGTGATACGATGTTTTCTGTGATGGAATCTACAAAACCAGAGTGGAGCTACAAAGGGCAGTGGCAGCTTAAGAAATGTAGGGCGTGGTTTAATATGTTCACGCTCCTTGCTTTGTGATTTGTACTTTGGAGTTATAACCATCCAATATAGCCAACTTGTCAATGAAGCGGTGCTCGGGACTTGACACACACACACACACTACGGCGTTTCTTAAGTTGACATTGGGGATGTACTAACCCCCGTTACCTGAAGAGTTTGAAAAAGACATGCGCGGCATAAATGGTTTTGTTCGAAGCTACGCTCGACGCTGATAAGACGAAGGTAGGGATGAGAGGAGGGTTTACAAGAGATCCTCAATCACAACCCTGTCATTCAGATGGAGACTATGGTGGTGTTATCCTCAGCCATTCAACCCCCCCCCCCCTCCCCCTCTCCCATTTTTCCTTCGAAAAATATATAATAGCCATGCAAGGCGCAAAGTTTAAGGTAGGTGTCGGGAAGCTGTGTGCCGATACATATCTCAATTGCCATTTTCGGGGGACGATAGATATCACCTAACTTTGCATACCCCAATTATTCTTTTTATGTGCTTTTGTTGTTTAGTTCAATATGTGTTTTCTTTCTTGGGTTCGCGGTGTGAATAGCTCCAGTCTTGTTTTTTTTATAATCTTTATTTGTAACTTTCTTATGAACTACTATGTGCTAATTTTATTGTAACATCTTGTAAAAATTAGGTCGCCAAATAAGTTGTTTTAATTTGATTTTCTTCGAGTCAAAATTATACGTTTCGCTTTCTTTAGCCTCAAACAATTCGCAGAAAATGTTAAGCTTTGCTGCAGTTCAATTTATAAGCCTCCCTTTTTAGCTTAAAACAAGTCACGACGTTTTAGGGAAGCGTTCCTAAGGTGTGAGCGGGTACGTCTCCCGGTCATCGTGTTTCGGCGATGCACTTTCTTTTTTTTCGGCACTAAAAAGTCATAAAGGTTTCTGGAACCCTTTGCTCCACCTTAGAAACATAGCTCCGAGGCACGCACAATATCGAGCTTATAATGGCAATTCAGCAAGTTTCCTCCTCGGAACGATACTTTCCCCTGCCCCGTCGCCCCCTCCCTCCCGACAGCACTGTGTCGGCCGGGAACGCGATTTTCCTCGGGAGCAGTTCTTGTGGAACGTACGGTTGCCTCCGGCAGATGTAAGAAGATTGATTTTCGGGATGCAGAGTTTGCTTTCCGCGGAATTCTTTTCTTCTTTGTTCTCGTCGCTGCTTGCCTTTTTCCCTCGCAGCGCAGTCGTCGAGTCGTTTTTTTTTTTTTGTTTTTTTTTTGTTGTCATTTGTGTTTTTTGGGTTATTTGTTGCTGGCGTGTTCTAGTTATTCCCCACTCATACTGAACAACAAAAAGGTGTTTTCAGCGTTCTTTTTTATTTTTTTTTATTTTGCTGTTTTCGTTTTTAGGGCGAACTGCGATATGCAATAACTCAAGTCGCCACTGAAAGACCCTGAAGGCTCCGTCAAGACAACCCCAAAAATAATGAAAAAAAAAAAAATCTGGAATTTTTTTTTTTTTTTTTTTTTTTTTACATTTGGATGACGTATACCTTGAATTCTTTTGAAAGCTCATTTTAAAGTGCTGAGATTTGGGGGAGGGGGGGGGGATGGCTGCTTTCAGAAAACGGGACTGGAGCATGCAACGTTGTGGTTGGAAGCTCGTGCGTTTGCCCTATTGAAACGCTCTTTAAGGTATTCTTTTTTTTTTCTCTTTCTCTTTTACTTACAGTTGGAGGATCTCGGGTGCTTACGCAAGAGGTTAATTTCATCTTCTGAATGGCGATGACATAAGACGACATCGGGAGAAAACTTAGGAAATACATCGGTAAGTGTTTCAAAATGTTCTTTGTATACCTTTCTTCTCTCCCAGGTTCAGTTTCTTTATATATTTTTTGTAGCTAATACGTTTTTAATAATTTTAGTACAGCCTTGCATAGTCTGTGCACGGTTACTTTTTGCTCTAATTCAAACTGGCGTCTCTAATCTAACGCATTTCCTCTATAGTTCTTTTTTATAGTTCGGCAAATATAACACTGCACATGCAGGACTGCGGGAGATTCATTCAAACTATTGAGCCAGTTTCAGAGGGCGTTATGTGATCTTTTCCTACGAAGGCATCATCATTACGTGCTCAAAGTATGTTTCCAAACTGAATTTTCGTTTTTTATTTTAAAAATTGCACATTTTGGAAATCTTTGAAGTAAAAACAAAATGTATATTTTGTGACTACTACTGACGATGGGCAGACGGCCAGCATGCCTGCGTTCGTGAGTCACTCCGCTGCTCACGGAACAAGTCGTTGCGGTAGAAAGCGGCCGCGTGCGATCTAGCAGAACCGGCAAGACCCGTGGACGCACGGCAGGCTCCATAAATTACGTGGTATATAAACATTACTTAAAGATGCCTTGCAATCATATTTAAGCGTCTACCTTTTTTGCGGTTTCCACGTCCCTCGGGGTTCGGGCAAGCCAGCTGGCACGGAGAGAGTAACTAAATATCACTGCGTCCTATTTTAACTGAACGACGCGGAAACGTCCTCCACCGACGGGGGTGACAAGCGGTACCGAAAGCGCGCAAAATGTGACGTCTTTGGTCTTGGGCTTGCTACTGGTCAGAGCCGCTAAGAGCTTCTTTTTAGTCAAAATACAAAGTATAAGTAGCGCGAACCGTTTCAATTATTTATAAACGTAGTTTTTGTTCACGATTTTAGATCAGAAAGAAAACAAATGCAGTTAAGAATGTACGGAAACAAGAAATGACCCGTCGGCATACCTGCCACCAAGCGGTGAAAAAGGCGGCGCACACTAGAAAGGTCTAGTGGGATCAGGCGCTAACGCGCGGTGACCGTAGAAAGGTCCCAGATGTACGCGACGGCGCTGTGGTCATATCGACTGGAGGATCCGACCGGTTCCGAGCGTTCCCAAGGCATTCGGTGAGCAGCTTCGTTTTGCGGTTTAGCCTTTTGGCGGTATGGCAGCAGAAGTGGCTCCCGTTCTGAACTTATCTTTACACCGTGTTTGCTCTCGTTTGTGGCCAGTGAAGTGTCATGCCGAATTTGCGTTTAAGCGCGCAGCAAAGGCAGTAAGAGCCGCACTGGCTGCCCGCTTCATACAGCCTAGCCAGAACATGCTTTAGTGGCGGCCTCTCGAGCCGCCGACGCGGAGTGCGGCAGCCGTGATCGCTTGCTGAGATCACTACCTTTCCGCTAGTTCACGGCCACTCAAGAAACCAAAGACGTCTTGAAGAAGGTTGTTTTTTGCTTGTTTTTGTAATTTTAATTTGCCTATGACTTATAAAATAAAGCGAAATTCGAGAAGAGAAAAGTTTAATTAAGTTACTACGTTCAGTACGCTCAGGTTAAGTGCAAATTAAGAAACAGTGAAAAAAGTCCTTGCGGGTCCCTTTAAACGCATAGAGACCTAAAATATTATTAAAAGTTTACAAATTTCAGTTAAAGTATTTATTTACAAAATAGAACATACAATAATTTTAGTACATTTTACACAGTAGCGCCACCGAACGGAGGATATCAGGCGCAAGTATTTCTATGGTGCCTGGAACGCGTCTCCGACTGGTGTGTTTACCGCGTCCAGAAAAGTGGTCTCTCGATTTCCACCTGATGACGTCATACAACTGCCATGGTGTCGCCGGTTGCGATCCTGGCGGCGTCCTAACAGTTGTGGTACATATGGCAGACGCCTGTTCTGCTGCAGGTCGCTCTCCACTGTGACAGTCCACGGAAGCTAAAGCAGCCGGAAATTGGGACGCCTGGAACGCCGTGACGACAGTGACACTCGCGTTCGCTCGTGCTCTTCGCCAGCATTTTTACGGCCAACCGCCAGGATCGCGGCAGGCTACAGCATGACACTCCGGCTTCTGTGACGTCATTTGCTGTCACCTCGGGACCACTTTTGATGTATGGGCGGGATAGGACGCCAAACACTCCAGTCGAAGACGTGATCCAGGCACCATAGTATTTCGGCCGTGAATCAGTTTGAGTGTCCTCTCTTTACGTTTTACTATATTACTTTATGCGGGGACGTTTTCCAAGTGTTCGTGGCACGCGTATATTCTCTAATGCCGGGCTCACACTGATGATATATTATACAAGTGACAGTCTGCAGAGACCAGTCACCGCGATATCTGTAATTCGAATGCCGCGTGTCAGGTTTGTCCTTAGACTGGTTGTTGTTCGGCATTCGAAGCACGGATCCCGTGGTGGCTCGCGTTCGAATCTGGAGGGCTATGTTGCACGTTTTGGACTCCCAGGAGACTAGGAAGAAGGAAGTGACGTCAACAACGCTCTTTGGATGTTGATTGGTGGAGTCGTTGATGACGCGTTGCGTGGTGCTGCCAACATTATTAGATTAGCTAACTTACGGAACTGCTCATAGACGCTGCATGCACCAACAGTACCCCCCCCCCCCCCCCCCCCTCACTCACCACGGCTCGCCAAGCGTCGCTCGACGTGCCGCCGGACAGCTGCTTTGGTAACTGCAGCGTGTTCTATGGGAATCGGGCACGGTGAAATCGGGTCGGGATCGCTGGGATCGTTACGTACGTTTCGAAGCACGGCGTCTAGATGGAGCTTCATCTCTGCTCTTTGGAACGCACAGTTATGAAACGAAAATCTAGATGGCTCTTCGAACGACACTTGGCAGATTAAGGTGAGTGAGGGGGGGTACCCCCTTCCGCTTGAGTTCCACAACTGGGGTAATCTAGTAACGTTGGGTGCTGCTAAGATACGTTCATTCACACCTACGTCACTTCCTTCTCCCTAGTCTCCTGGGAGTCTAAAACGTGCAACATAGCCCCCCTGTTTGCAATGTCTCTTTTGTATGATGTATCCGTGGTAAGAGGCTCGCTAGAGGCGCTTTTATTTTCCTCACTTTTCGGCAGTGCACGTGCTATCCACGCGATTATGATTTATTTTCACAGTGCATTGAAGCCTGGCAAATTCCTCAGCAGAGAAAATTGAAGTATCCTGAGTTTGGGTTGGGAACTAATTCCACCAGGCGGTGATACCCAAACTTCTCGCTGCGAATAAGCAGTGTGGCCCCAGATTAACGGTTGGGGAGTCTCGCGTCCATCTCCTAGGATCGTCAATATAATCCCCCATAAACCACGATTTTTCGTCCGACACCCAAACTTTATATTAAAAACCGAACATGTAAAAAACAAAAACAAAAAAAAAAAACTACAAAACGCCCCGAATAAGGTAAAAAGTCGAAAACACGTAACACTAATTATAACAGAACCTACACCCTCATAACTACGGAATCGCTTTTTTCATACAGACTGGGAGGGGTCCTTACTAGGCCCCTGCTTTTGGTACGCAGAAATTATGTGGTACTCAGTTAGTTATGCTTCAAAAGTATCCCCGAATAAAGCTGGAAACTACTACCATGTGACTGGAATGCTTCATCTATGTTAAGAAAGACGCAAGTTTCTTCTTTCTTTTTTTTTCTCTTCTTTTTTTTCAGGTTGATGAGGAAAGCGCTCTAAAAAGACGCTTGTGGGCTCGTTTTCCTGTATAATAGAAACACAAAAATAATCAGTCCCGGCAAAGAAAACACACAAAAACAATCCCGATGAACGACGGAACTCGTAATACCATAAGGCTAGAAAAAACTTTATATGCGCACAAGGCCAATATGCAAGTGGAACGTCATGCTGGTTGTCCATGGGCACATCGCGTTTTGATTGCTCCGCTCGTATTCTGAGGTACGTCATTCGCTGGAATACAGATATTTGTAATGGCGTGTTTTGCAGACATTTATTTTTGGTGTGCAGTTAAATCAGAAACTCGTGAGTTAACTTTTCAGTTTACTCACGTATCTTTCTTTTTAGAGCACATAATCGGCTCAGTAGACTTCCTAAAGCGTTTCTGCTACACGAACCTCAAGTGCTTTGAGGTCGCTTTTGCAGGCTATGAGATCGCGCTCGCAGTTTTTACTTTAGGGATCACGTAACCCCAGCGTTTCTCAAACTGCGGGTCGCGACCCCAAAGGAGTCGAAAGAGATTCGCGAAGAGCGTCGGGCACTTGAAACAAATCCAAAGTTGGCTTCTCTGCACGCGTGACGATTTACAGGTCGCAGCTCAACGTCCAGCCATGAGTGAGAGATACGCCATCGTTTTGAGAATCTACGCTTTAACAAACAAGCTCACTCTAGTCATTAGGAACAACTAGTCCTGCCGGCTGTGTATTTTTTTTTTATTTCGCAATTTTTTCTAGCTTAATTATTTCAGTGTGATTATAACAACTGAAAAACATGTCAATGTCAGTTTTGTGTATTGTTGTCCCTACACTAAAATCGAAAAGCTTGTGACATTGCAAAACGTTGAAGGAAAGGGGAAGGGTGGGGGGAGGTTGCGAAGCGATGTTTTATATATTTGATGAGTCGCAGGGTAGAAGAGGTTGGGAAGCGCTGCGTTACCTCATAATGTAATGCAATATCTGCAATTTTACTTTCAATGGGTGATAACATACAAAGTCGGCGCCCAATGCTGACTGTATGAAACATTTTTCTGGTGGAAGGACCAAGTCAAATTTGGGGGTTTTCACGTGCCAACGAAAGACCTCTGGCAGGCCCAAGGGGAGGACTGGGAGCTAATTTCGACCACCTGTGGATATTGACGTGCAACCGAAAGCTCGGTTACACAGCGACTTTTCCGCGATATGCCTCCGTCAGACTGCTTGCACCTTGTCCCGGATTCAAACACCCAACCTTGGAATCTGTAGGCCGGCCTTTTGCCTCGGAGCCACCGACGTGGCATCTGGTGGAAGGAGGCCTTGATAATTTAGTTTTTTGTGATGGTCCACC